ATCACTGCTTCCAACGTCCATTCCTAGCGGAAATAAAGTATCTATCTCGAATGCCCGATAGGTTAGTAGGTAGTAATAAACAGATTAGCATTGCAATGGCACGGGGCCTTACCTAGTCCACACTACCCGCCATAAAACAAGCAAAAACTACTGAATTATACATTTCAGTATGGAACATGAATAGGTAAATATATCAATTCAGCCTTTCGGCCGTAATATACCTTCGGTGATTTATCGTGAAGTCATCGGTATTTGTTGAAAATCTTTAAAAAAACCAAACTAACGTGTTTGGTCGTGGGTAGGTCATGGGGTTTGTGTAATTACAATTAGTTACTAGATATTTTTATCTTATCAGTCAAAATAAAATATTAATCTAATATATTACAGAACATTGAAAATATTTTGCGAACAATTTGATCCCTACATTTTATCCGCCTTTTGATAGAGTAGCGAGATTGTTTGGTAAAATGAGGCCAATTGTAGTGAACGAAAAAGAGCAGAATTATTACTAATACAATGCCTTATTATAATCTTATATTACGATAAGTAATCCAAAAGTGTTGTGAGAGCACAGGATTAGAACTTAGTTAAAATGACGATTAATAAAACCATTCCAAAGTGCAGCCCCAAACTTACATCGGAACAAGTAGTTTTATTTAGTCTTCCTTGGATTTAGCTTTTCGTGTAAGGTTTGGTGACCATATCCTGAAAAGTTGTTAAAGGCAAAAGAAGACACTCAGAGCAAATTTGGGTTAGTGCTAGCCTAAATGTATGAAACGTATCCGTAACAATGACATTCTAGAAACATGTTTACTATGCTACAGATCTGAGAATGTGCAAAAAATCTGAGAGTAGACCAAAACCTCAGAGTGCTTCTCTGCTTAACAAGTGCTTCGAAAGCTACGATAGAATCGAAGTTAAGCATTACGTGTGACGGCATGCCTCAAATGCACATATCGCATATGCGTTCTGGGTTCGTAGGCAGATGCGTTACAACTGGATCAACGCAAGGATTTTTTTCCTTTGACAACCCTGACACGACATACGTCACTCTCGACGCTTTGCGTTTTTTTTCTCTAAGGGAAAAAACTTCTTGGACACACAGGCGACGTAGAACATCACACGGTATGCACATAAGGACGAAAATATTCTTGACGTTTTACAAAATTCAGTTTTTCGAACAGTCCTTTTCTTTTTCTCATCAATGTTGAGACGTTGCGCTATTCTTTTCTGCGTCGTACTACCCACTTTACTGCCAGCTCTATTGAAATGATCGGAGTTTTACGGCCAGTGCTGTCGTCAGGCATTGTATCGTCTTGAGCGTCTGGTTATGCCAGAACTGCTGTTACTACAAATGCTAATGATACTCATAAAGGAACTCATAGGAAGTTCACGTTAGAAAGGACATGGCATCGCCAGTTTTGTCATCGAAAATTTGCACGCCGTATGATAACTTTTTACGTCATAGTACAGCATTTCTGAGTGTTATCTTTATCGAGGAATCCCTTGTGCCTCAAAAAATACGAAATAAAAGCAGAATATATATGTTGATTAAAAACGGGTGTTCTGCAACATTTTATCGTCGAAAGGTACCTGAAATGGATGCAGTTCCTAATGCACTACAACCGAACGGAGTCATTGATTCATATAATTGGGCTTTTTTTTGGCCGTTTCCTGGATTAATGAATAATTATGTTTAGATTAGGCATATAAGCTTGAAACAATTAAAACAAATAAATTATATCTTAATGAGTAAAATTTAAATTTATCGAAGTCAACCTACCGCAAAGCACAGCGTTGACACTGTCCAAGCTAGCTAGAAAAAGTTAGCCAATTTTTAGGGTTGAAATTATTCGTATTCCTTTATAATCTATAATATTCATGATTTTCATAGGACTTCTAATATCCTTCATAGATATTGTATGTTTTTTTCCATCTTATCAAATTTATTTGCGGATTTCGCCCAGATGTATAGTTTAGAGGTTTCCCACAGGCAGTTGATAACACTTAGCCGTTTGCCGCGCCACAGAGCTATGCTTATAAACTTCGAGCTTTAGTAAAATATTATACTACAATAATATAAAAAAATCGTGTTGTCTGCTAGTCTGTTTGTATGAATTATACGGCGATCCTATGCAGCCCGCAGTGATACCATATGTAATGTTTAACAGATATAGCAGATAACTTTCCAGCCAATAGATAACTCTCATTGAAAACTTGTGAGGTTCCGTGGAACTTTCGCTACACATGCACGCACTCGTGCGCCCCCTAGCGTGCAGAAAAGCACTATCCAGCAGTCTAATTCAATGACAGTGTACATGGAGAACTTCGTAGGTGAAGCCTATAACGGTACAAATTTACAATCAACCAAAACTCTCTTCAAATGTAGTGCAACATAGACAAAATGACCTTATCGCCACTTGAGGACGGTCATGTAATCAAAAACATAAGTTTTGTCAAACTACATTTAGGTATTCGAGACAATATTTAATCTGGTGTCGCTTTCACTAATAATTAAACCAACTGAAACATATTTAAGCCGCTTTCCAAATAATACACCCTAATGCCATTATTAATTCAATGAAACGCCTGAAGCCGTTAGGTTAAATCGATAAACCATAAGAAGACACGGCTAAAACGAGTTGACCTAAATACATACCCATTGCTCGAATAAATGCTGGGCAGTTACACACACCTCTCTACAGGCACGGATCTCCACAACTTTTTTCTGAACCATCTAAGTAAGACTTATGCAGAATACGGCAGAGACCTAATAAACTGTTAGTTAAGAATCTTGGAAAATCAAACGGTCCTGATTTCTCTTTTGGTCTTCCAAAGCACAGTTCTACTAACTTAACCGCAAGAAGAAGAATCCTCGTTAGTTTAAGGGAGAGCCCCACAAGCTATTCTCTGTACCCTACAAAGCTGGTACGCTTAGAGGGAGGCTTGCTTGAAATAACGAAAACTGAATGCCTAGACTGGGAACCTGAATGATATTGAATATTATCGGCACCAAGCAAAAGGGGGCATGTGTTTCGGACTACACAATAATAAACCTTAGCTAAAGTTCATTGCGGTAAGCCTTGTAAGTTTCAGCATTCTCCGGACGTTGAGACAACACTTTAGAAAGCGCGCACAATTTTAGTTACATATAGATGGCAGCCTTTGCACAAGATGCATTCCTATACATTAAATATAACAGCTGATTTGAAGGTGAGTTGCCAAAATCTTTGTCTAAGCTATTGGCTCATTGGTAAAAACGTGCCGGCAGGAGAGCAATATGACAAAATTTCCCTTTAGACAGTTTCACATGCAATAATTACAATCTTAATTGAAATTGCATGAAAAAGTATGATATGATCCTTAGTTATTAGTTTAAGCATAAAAATAGGTACAGGCACAGAAATGAACGATATTATAAAACTTCCGCTCTTCCAGGAGACAGGGAGAGTGTCTAGCCAGAGCGAAGTAGTTATTCTAGTAGAAATGTGTGGCAAATACTGCATCACTTTTATAAGACTGAACGCACGTATTTACTTGATAATGCATTGCCCTAAGCGAAAAAGTTGTACGAACTAATAAAATAGATGAACATTATATAGAATCATCCTTACTTAAAAGTGATCTAATCCGTAAAAAACGCAGAGAGGACTGTAGAACCTCTGCCAAACGATAGTGGCGTATGCTGTATGCGTTTAAATCAAATGGTCCTCTTTGTCCAGAATAGACTAAGAATGTTTCGCTAATACACACAATGCTCCATGTAGATACCGACAGATTTTTGCCACTGATGTGTTTAAAGCTTACTATAAAATATTAGAAATTAAGCGATTCTTTCCGTTCTAAAATATTTTTTCTTCTAAAAAGTCGATAAAATTTGTAAACACAGTTCGATGAGTGTTTAGGATGAAGATACCCTTTCAAGTGCTTAGTTGAACAAGGAATTGCACAATATAATTTTTTAATGGAAAATGTCCCCGAGATTTTCAGGCCTTTTGTATAAAACTTTAGGTCGTAAGTACAGACACCTGAAAAATATTCGGGCAATTCGAGCCTGCCTGAGGCTCTCAACCGATTACCTTTTGGCTTTTCACTTAAAAGCTTAGAAAAATTATTTGTATTGTTCTTTTTTACAATGGCTCCTTCAGTGACACTTACCTTTGCTGTTACAGCCCTGCGACAAAGATAATATTATTTAATCTGTTAAATTGTTTATGCTTCGCGAAAATGTCCGCCCAGTTATTAGTCTAACGCGCATTATATTTCGTTTAACATTTGTCATTGGGTCTCAATAATTACGTAACAAGATAAAAAGATTTCACACCGCGGTCCGAAGTACACGCGAGGTAAATGTGTATTACAGTGAATAGTTCTAACGATTAGGTAGCAGAAAGCGGTTGTTTAATACGTAAAAACGATAACTATCAGGTTACCTTACAAAGCAAGAATATCGTGATGCTCATGTGTCTGTCAGATTGCTACTGGTAATCTGTAGGCTAATGTAGATAGAGTCACAAAAGAGCATTTTTAGCTCGATTTAAATGTAACACGCGTTTGATTTAATCCATGGTATCTATTTTACTGGCTGTAGCTTCTCCAAACCCCGAACGACAACCGCAGTCCTCTAAGTAAGCGATTCCCTCTCAAAAGCTCTCTGGTATCTATATAAAGCTTCATTAAGCAGCTCATTAAAATTCGTCATAATCTCATCGCGAACGACAAGTCTACCGTGCTCTACGATCTCGATCATTGCTTTTGCATACTATGATGGTTTGTTAACGCTCCCTGGCAGTTAAAGAACTCGCGACAACACATACGTCCAGCATCCCTGGCCCGCTCTGCATAATGGTTGAGAGTGAGCAGGGGGCGCCACCGGCACAGGCGGTCCTTAAGATAAGGGGCGGAGCCTAGCGTTTTTTTCTTAGCGTTTGGGTAATGGTGCCATTAGGGGTTCTTTATGTGCCATAATACGCGTTATTGCCGGCGAGTCGAGCCACGACTCAAACTCTGGTGAGAATTAGTGGCAAAATCGGGCGAATAGCGATCGTTGCGGACTGCATGTGCGTTGTACAACAGACGGAATCAGCAACAGGAAACGATACGCGTTTTGGTATCGAAGTGCGCGACTTTTGTGTGAAAACTGCGAGTCTCCGCAGCGTTTGAACCTGATACGCGCGCCGAATTCCGGCGGCTTCCATAAGCTAAGACGATCAAGTAAAGCTCACTGCTTCAGCATTGACGCAGTGCAGCTCAGAGGTGAACATGCCGCATGCTTGGGGGTGCTCTAGACAACGCCGCGTACCTAGTACCGCACCGAGCGTCTCTCATGCGCTGCAACGATCCGCTGTGAGGCCTAGCGGACAAATGCCACAATTTTGAAACAGAGGTTGGCTAAATTTCAGCCACCACCTGCAACCGATATACGTATTAAAAGTGCCAATCTCAGCGTTTTTGACGTGAATCTCAAGCTAGATGCCGCTTTGCCTAGCTACGTGTAAATAGTGAGTTTATTATAAGCAATTGTATCAAGTACGTCGATTGTCATCATTTTTTGTGTAAGTGCTAAGGTGTGTTCGATTTTACAGTGTCTACGGAAAGAAAATATGCGTCTCGGAAATTTAGAAGGGCTTTTCACCATGATCTGTAATTCGTGAAGGAAAGCATCAGTGTTTAAAGCGGTCTATCTTACGTAGTACAAGTTTTTGAACGCAGGGGCCAAGAGTACTCGAAACGAAAAGCAAGCTACCCCGTGATGAATGCGTATTTTGAATCGACGGCCGCCCCACTCGGGTATTTCGGTAACCAGGGTGGCCAAGTGAGTTCATCTCCTACATCCCAGGGGGACCAATACCGCGGGTTTAATCTCCTTGTGCCTCCTTACGCCGCTGTAGGCGGTTCAGCAGTAAATGGCGTCGCGTCGAACCCGCACTCCAACCAGCCAAGTCAACCTGGTACTCCACAAAACAACGGTGTTTCCACGCGTCCGGACAGTTCCGAACGTCAATCACCGCCTTATGAAACGGACAAGAGCTCGTCGTATGATTACAAAGCCTCAACTGTATCGGCGACAGCTCAGTCGCCAGCACTTAACGTCAATTCAATAAACTCCACGCTCTCAGGAGGGCTAGATACACAGAAAAATTCATTTATAAAAGACATACGGCCAGATATCGCTGCTTTAGCAGGGTGTTACCAGACAGGCGGTGGAGGCCGACTCGGTAGCTTCGACTCTAACTGGGCGGGAGCGACCAGCGGTCAGGCTGGCTCGCCAGGTGCCACTAGCGTTGCCGCAGCGACAGCGAGTGCAGCGGCAGCAGCAGGACCCACTCCCAACTTCTATCCTTGGATGGCCATCGCTGGTTAGTTATTTAAAATACTTTGAAAGCTTTTAGTCATGCTGAGTTTTGTTCGAAGTGTTATATTGATTTTTTAAGGTTTGTGTCATCAGATCCTACTATCCTTTGTCACACGAAAGGTTCTACTTATAAAACTATTTTTATGCGGGGATTGTGTTTCTTTACGAAATGTTGTATAAAGTCTTTTAGCAAAATATTTATTATACTAATGCCATTATAACTAGGAAGAATTTAGTTCAGATCTGCACATTGGGAGCCTAGAAAGCTGACTGACATATGGCTCTCATACTGACTTCATTACATGAAGTCTTTGTTGTCTGAAGAACTTTCCATCTATTTAAAACGTAAGCCTTCATAAGACGGCATTATCTGCGCTAAAGACTTTTGTGCCCGTGTGTTAAGAACGAATTTGAATAGGGAGACCAGCTAACATAAGCTCGATCTCGAGTAATTCGTTTTGATTGAAGGCTCATATCCTAATATGATCATTGTCAGAAAATGATAAAGCTGTTGTGCGAAACTTAATTTATACGTTAACTTGCATGGTGATGCGCCATTAAAGCTCCTCTGCTTTTGTGTTCTTCACCAATGGTAGTAATCAGGCTCCTATTATTTCAAACTGTTATTCCATCTTTTAGAGTAACAGAATAGATACAGAGTTAATCGCTATTTTCAAAATATATAATATGTATCTACGGGTGTTTCTGTTTTAACGTACATATTTACTACTATACACCATTCAATGGTTTTAGACGGAAAAAAACGTTTTATCTAACATTGGTTTAAGCCTCTTAAAAGGCTACAAAAATGCTTATTGCGGTATATACCCTAGCATCGTCTCTTAGGTTTTGAATAGCAATCTGCTGTCCAGTAATTTAATACCAACAGGGCAACGCACTGGAGCTTTGCCAGTATTTAATGTACCATGGTTTCCAAATCCATATACTTGTAATATCAAGTGTTTCTTGATAATAATATGCAACCGATATCGCATAAGGCTGAACAGCCTTCGGAATATATATAATAAGGTGCGGCTCTACCACCTATATATAATATGTTATGCTTTGCACTAATTTCAATAAAAACATTTACCATTTTGGTTGCCAGCAACAATAAAATGCTCAGGTTAGCGTAGCAATCAAAAAAGTGTTTTTTCCTTGAAAAATCAAATTTACTTCGTGAAGTGCGGTGTACGTGAACGAGGTACTGACCTCTGTCTCGACGACACACTTTTGATTATAAATGAAAAAAATGCGTACTTTATTGTTATATTTCGATAGAACTACATTACCATAGCGCAAATGGTATAATTTTCAATTCTAGTACGACGGCATAGTAAATCATCTACTAGATGCTAACACAGTGACCTGCTCAGAAATTTTTACGCCATATCGATAATATTCAGGTTGTAAGTATTCTTCGCACTATGCACAGTATATTTGCACCGCGACGGGTCTAGCCAAACCTGTTAAATTCGATTTGACTGGGAGAGTGACCTTAATTTCAACATATTTAATTAATAATAGCGAAAAAGTGTTAGCCTGGTACGTTGTTTACTTTAGGAAAAAACAACCTTAAATGACACAGTAAAAAGGGGTGGAACCTCATTGCCTTTTGTGCAGCCTGATCTAGTCATGGCTGGCCGCATTAGCTAGAGGTAACATTTTAAGAAAATTAAAGCCATCTTAGATTGTGCGCGCTACCTTGCAGATAATTTTTTTGCTTTTATTGCTTCACAAAAGAGGAGACTCGAAAAATGCGAGAGATAAAAAATACAAACATTTTATTACCTCAACGATGGCGATGGCTGTTTCGAGCTCGTAAACCAACAAAGAGAACGTGAACGAGTGGCAACGCTTACAGAGTCTGCCCTGGCTTCTCGTCTCCTGCTACCGGCACTATAAGGATTCTGAGCGACTCATGGCCAACAACAAAAGCCAACATTACAGTCACAATATTATCCCATACCTGCTCATCTCTTCATTCGGCGTGCGTTAAAAGAGTGTGCGTTCTTGGCAAATTGAACAGTGGACAACTTCTGCCAATATTAGTAAATACGTGACGCGCAGATTAACATAAGCGGAGCCAATGGCTTTTCCGGGACCCGGCAAGAGAATGGCTTGTATATATTTTATTGTGACGTATTCTAAGTAAATATGAACTCAGACAACATGTGGTATGCAAACTAATCACCCAAGGCAAAGTTCTCGAACTTAGCATGCATCAACAAAAGCTATAATCCATTACCTTTAGTAAAGCTATGAAGTTTCGAAATCGGGTGAACAATAGGGATCGGTAAAAGACACTATAATTTCTATTTGGTACAAAAGCCCTTCTATATAAAGTCAGATTTAATATAGAACTGATACAGCAATAACTGTGACAAATTTAGGTTTTAGAGTCTTCTATAAATGCCACTAACGGATAGAGCCGTCCTATAATAGCGGGTAAGCAGAGTGTCAAGCACATGAGGCTACATTACATCTATCTAAATGAACTTGAATGAAGTTGCACTTGAGCTAGAGCTTTAGTTTCAATGGAATTCAATTTCGAGATGTGCTCTAATATGCTCGAACTTAGATAAATTAACTTTTATTATTGAAAGTACGCCATTATCTATGCACTAGAGTGAGGGGGATGTATGTTTAAGGATCGCCATGATAGATCCTACTGCATCACTCTGTAATGATTGAAATCGATGTATCACGATCTTTCATGTTATTAATTTCGAATAATATCTTGTACACAACCGGTGGAAGGCTGCTATCTTATCTAATCCGTTTCAGCCAGACTTCCCGATTCAAACAGCAGGGGATTTGCAGCTCCAATTCCATAGCTGAGAAAAAGATTATAATGGCTTCAGCGTGTCACTGTTCAGTGATTCTGAACTAGAAATATAAAAAATGTTATTAGTTAGTTCCTATTCGGGCCTAGTTGATAGCCAGCAGTTCACTGTACCTGCACTTTTGTTCCCTCTGACTGATAAAGCGAGCATATTCAAGCTACTGCGTTCACGACAGGCATTGGAACAGTTGAATCTGATCATCGCCAAAGAGTCCGCGTTGTCATCTAGCTGTGGCCGTCGGTCAGAGGTGGAGGGAAGCCCAGAGGGTGAACATGAATGTTGGGGTACCTTGTTCGTGGGAGAGACTCATGCGATTACCCTGGAGAGGAAGGCTCGAGGGGTTCACACGTATTCACTGGTATATCAGTGAGGATAGAATACCACTCAGTCGCTATAAATTGACCGTCTGCTTGGGCTGAAAAGAACTTAGATGGGTATTCTGCTTTTGCTCAGGAATGGCTCTGATATTCAGTTTCGTATTCAGTAACCTATAGCCAGTCAAAATAACTACCTTAGTTGCTTTCGTGCGCCTTTACTAAGAGTCAGTATTATAGTCATTTTTTTCTTTTTTGTTGAAATATTTGTTCCTGATTTTGAAAACCCTACATTGACTAGACGAGCAACGAAAATGCATTGCTACACACGAGATAAAAACAATATCACTATTCAGTTGCTTTGCGTCAAATAAGCGAACAGTCTGTGTACATCTCTAACCTCTTCATCTGCTTTGTGCCTGTTTGCGGGCCACATCCCCATTACATAATAAACATAAGCGTAAGAAACATAAGGGGCTTACCGCTGCGAAAACTGTAACTGAACAGTAGCAGTTTATTACCTTGCTCATATTGAACCTTAGCTAAGGACCACTGTGTCAATCGATTTTGTATTCAGACCAGTAATTAGCTTTTGTCATACTAAAGGCCCATAGCACATAGCGTTGTCGCGAAAAACCGCTTAATCGATTTTTCCGATCTGTTAATATCCCCTGCAGTCTGCTACGTTATCTCCCTAGGTAAGATTCCCTAAGAAAAAAATGCCAAAATTTTTATAAAATATGTACTTTTAGCGTAAAGTAAAAAAGAACACGGGTCCTCAGCTGTTGTGTGAATAAATTCAAAACCAGTTGTGTAGGCTAGTAGACACTTAGGCAGAAGATTATCGAAAGCCCTGAGCAGATTCAGGACACTCTACCTATGCGGAATTTTTCCTTTGAATGTTTTGGAATTGAATGATTTTGAAATTAGTTTGTTGTAAGTCTATTGTATAGAGCAAAGGAAGTTACATACAGTGTACATAAAAGTTTTTGACTAACTTATATATATCTATCATATGATTATATGTATATTAATTATAGGAGATTCATGCGTTAACGTGAAGCTGATTTAAGCGAGTTGTTTTTCGTAGTGGCACTAGAAAAATCTAATCTTTTTAATAGAAAAACGCAGATGCATGTCATCGAACGAGACTCGCTCTTCTTTTCGCAATCAAAAGATTATATCCATCTACTTGGTATGGCACATTTATCGTGTAAAAAAAGCTGATTGAAAATGGCAATATCGAGATTCTCGAAATGAAGTTGCTAAGGAAGAGCAGGCTCACTACCTGTTAGGTCCCGTCCTATGAACCCATTCATTGTTTATCTACAGAAAAGCAGCAGAAATTGAATTCCTATGCTTTTACAAGAGAGAACTCTTGTGTTGTAATACTTCGAAAACAAACCAACGGTGTGCTCTGAGGGTCAAGTCCAACGGTTACAATAGAGAGCGGCATCATATGAAAGCCACAGATAAAGAAGGCTTGAACTATAAGCTGCGAAAGCTTGGCAAATGAACGACAAATAACGAAAACGCTATCCAAAAAATCCGCTTTTAAAAGTGGACTAAACAAATTCATAAGTTCATTCGAAATTAAACACTTCAAGAAGAGGTTAAAGTAACTGCTTTGACAAAGATTGTGAATAAATTGCTCTGCAATCGAGGTCCTGCTCAATTGGGGATTCGAACAATTAGGGATGAGCTGTCTCGGTTCGTGAGGCAAGCAGCGAGAGGTAGTTTTTAGAGCCAATACATATGCGATCGAACATCTAACAAAATCATAATAGAAATAATAATACCGATATCCCTATAAGCATTACTTGAGCTTCACGAACATATTCGGA